AAAAAGTGGAAAGACAAATTTTTATGACAAACGGATACATAAATCGTAAATTTAAGGAAAATAAATTCTAGAGCTTTTTCTGTACCTCGTGCATCTCTCTCATTCATTAAATTTAGTGGTAAATGACGCTGTCGAAGTAACGGTTAATTTTTTAACATTATACAAGAATTATACATGTTTTTTCTACATCCCCTTAAAGACGGGATATACGAAATCGTAATATCACTGGTTTAACATCAAAATCCGTGAGTAATATAAAATCGGAGAGCGGAATAAAAATATTAAATATTTTAATGGATTTTTTTAAACTCCTGCAACTAAACAGAACTATCATAAAAACATACCAGTAAATTCTTATCGGTTGGGTTAAGTTATAAATCTACTCGTTATTCACGTAATCGGCCAAATATCTAGAGGGCAGCTAACAGCCCAGAACCGGTCCCGGATAGACTTGGAAGCGTTATCGACCCAAGGTCGTAGGCTTCCACCGGCTAAACCGGGTAAGGTTGGTGCTCTGTAAAGTGCATGTGCGGATCTGGCTTTTTGAAATCTGACAATGCCACTCTGCCACTAATATTCGAATATACAATAGCAATCTTATTATTTTTTTTTTTATGTGTAGTAAATTTGTAATGAGATACATAATGTGGTAATAATAAAATATTAATTTTAATTAATTCAAAGTACATACATCAAAATATGAAAGTAATTGCACAATATGTATTTATATTTTAGAAAATACAAGGGAAGCGGCGCGTCCACCGCTTCCAAGGATGGTACGCCACTGCCTTTGAACACTTAGAAGTGCATTTAATGAAACTGAAGAAAATATCTCAAACCTATAGCCAAAAAACTTGATAGATTCTATGCCAAATAGAATGTTTTTATTAATTCAAAAAGTAAATTATTAAAATAATGTAATTTGGAATTACTGTTTACTGATCTTATAATTATGTTCAGATATGTTTCATTTCATTTCAAGCACATTTTTATGGCTAATATACCATTTTGATTTTGAATGACTCATATTGGAATGTGAAGTATATCCTGTACAAATTATTTACCAAAATTAGAAACCAAAGTTAAAGCTCACTATTTTATATCTGACAATCGCTGCAAGTGTGTGGGCTAGATTTGGAGAATCCATGCTTTTCACATAGATAATTGTATGTGGCCAGCTCACATGTCGGAAAACCTTCTGATTTATTCGTATACGCACCAGATAGAAAAACAAAAAATATCATCTATCCACAAGCACTCCAGTAAATAAATAGAATTGAAACGACACTTTGAAATGTTTTCCCGATGAAAATGAATAATAATAATAAGTTTCAATAAAAATGATAAGATGTGAATTGAATTTTATCATAATGAGTTTGCTTGAATTTCCTTTCTTTTGAGATCGCAGCAATACGTCACAGGTAAGCTACTTTAATTATAATTATTAATTTACTTAAGAAATGATGCCTAATGTCTACCTCTAGTGTCAAATTACTTTATACCAATCCTTTAATTAGCCATATTATAGCCTGATATTTAGGAGATCGTTTGTTATTGTATATTTGAATATCAGTGGCAGAATGGAAGCGCTGTATTCCCAATGAAAGCACTGTATTGTCAAATAGGAGACAGCTTCCACAGCAAAAATATCTGAATACTGTAAAGCAGCCAGATTATACACATTTGCACATGCACTTTACAGAGCACCAACCTCATGCGGTTTAGCTGGTGGATGCTACACACCCTAACGCTTCCAATGATTCAATCCAGGGCTGTTAGCAGACTGCCTGCTAGATTTTTGGCCGCCCTCACCCATCATGTGATCGTGAGTAGATTTATAACTTAACCCAACTGACAGGAGTTTACTGGTATGTTTTTATGATGATTCTGTATAGTTAACAGGAATTTAAAAAAAAATTCATTAAAATATTTGATATATTTATTCTGCTTTTATTCTGCTCTCCCATCTTGTATTACTTACAGATTTCAATGTTAGACTAGTGATATTACCATTTAGTATGTCCCATCTATAAGGGATGCAGAAAAAACAAATACAATCCTTGCTGCCAAAGTTAAAGTTAAAAAATTAACTGTTACTTTGGCAGCATCATTTACAACTAAATGTAATGAATGAGATGCACAAGGTACAAAAAAGCCCTAGAATTTATTTTCCTTAAATTTATGATAGACTATATCATCATCATCAATGTATCCGTTGTCATAAAAAATTGTCTTTCCACATCTTTCCCAAGACGACAAATATTCAAGTACAAAGTAACTGGTTTCAACTTATTATAAATAAAACCCTTCTGAAAGAGCTGGAATATTATTTAAACAGAAGCTTAACTGAACCAATCTCTAGCCAAGTACAGTGGGGACTGATTTCGCTGTAATATTAGATGTAATAAAGACAGTAATTTTTCCAGTTCAATGAGAGTGACCAAAAAGTTGTAAATTTTGGAAATTTCCATGAACACCTAAAATGAATTAGTTAGAAAAGAAATGTCAGATACTCTATTAAGTTTAACATATTTAGATTTTTACAGCTATGATGAGAAATGTTTAAAATTTACAACAACCCTGTCACGTCCTTTGAGGTATACTAGTGATGCAACTAAACAGGCATTTGATATTGACCAGTATCGGCATCCCTCACTGCACACTTACCAGGCGTCTCTGATTCCATCCATTAGCCACTCGAAGAGAGCTATTTGACTAAGTGGATTGTTTTATGATTTTAAAAAGTAAAGAAGATTTTATGTTATTTTTATGTATGTTTCTTTACAAAGCTATATTTAATTATAATTTTCTTTAAAAGTATATTTATACAATTGAAGAATCTTTTGTACCAGGTATACCAGGTATGTACTGTACATTCACCACACATTTTATTTCACCAAGTAAGTTTTTATAATTTTATTTTTAATTGTAGCCCTTATATCATGGCTAGCAAAATGTGCTTTTAATATCACAATGCAATTGTGATATTAAAAATACATT